GAAAAAATAAATGTACAGTCCTTCTGGAAACAAGCACTTTGTCTAACAAGTAGGGCAGAAGAAATTGTTCTGTTCAGGTTGGTTTTTAAAAAAGGAGAAATTACTTAGAGAGCGAATCTCGCAGCCTGGGTAATAGGAATTTTGTTTGATGCAGCTGCTGGTGAGGAGTCTGATGTCAAAATGCTGTGGTACATATAAGTAGCAATCAGTAAAGATGAATTATTGAGGGGACAGCATAAAAATGGACGAGTATTAAAGTAGAATCCATTCACTATATAAGCACTAAAGAACACATATGAATTCCCAGCAAATTTACAGTGACGTGTTTGAAATCTCAATTTATGTGCATACAAACAAAGCGTGAGGAATATTTTAATCTCCAGATGCAAATAAGCTGCATATAAGTTTTAACTAAACTGTATGAACTAACTGTTAAGGATCAGGTACTTTCAAACTTCCTCAATGTGTGAAAGCAGATGTGTGAGTGCAAATGATTTAGATGATTTTGTCAGATAAATAACAACATCTGGAAATGGAGTGGTGTCAGTTAGGGAGCAGCGCTTTGACTGACTGCAACCTGGAAGGTGGAGATGAGGGAGTTTAATAGCAGCAGCTCTCCCTGTGCAGCTCTTGGAAGGTTTTAACGTGACTCCAAGGTAGAGAGCAGATCTGTAGTAGAAATGCTGGCAAAAGGAGACAGACTGATTCAGGCAGTTCTGTCTGCTAGACACCAAATGCATTCTGAGGCTACAAGTGACCGTTTGAAAAACATTCTTGGCCAAAACCAAGCGGAGTCTCTACAGCAGAGGGGGCAAAGAGAAAGTCTCAATTAAATTGGGTTGCCTAAAATTCTTCAAGAGGAGGTGTGCATGTGCTTTCCCAGGTGCTATGGTATGATACCTTCTGCTTTTTCTGTCTGCAGAAGCCAAGTCCCAGCAGTACTCTGGGATCCTGGAGAGCCCAATAAGAGTTGTCATCCCAAACCCACTGGCAGAGAAGTCATCCCACAGAGTGGAAGAAGAGGAATAATCCTTACCTGTAAATTCAGATAGGCAAGGCCTCTAAGATGTTTTGCAGCTAGGGCAAAAGCTGAGGTCAGGAACTGGGAATGCCAGGAGTGCTTGGAGAGCAAGTGCCTGTGGGATGGTAAGGAAATGCTAAGTACAAAACTGAGAAAAAGGGATGATCTCTCTGAAAATACTAGAATGATCTTATTAACCTACGATTGCCCATGTCTGAATAGATACAAGCGTAGGAAGCTTTTAATAAATTAAAAAGGAAGAGCAGAGTTGTTTTTTTAAGGCAAAAAGTGACGTGCATAAACCTGGGAGTGAGATCATGCACCTCTTTAAGCCAGTGATAAAAAAACTTTTTGACTTTAAGATGAAGGTTTTTACCCACATGTTGATGAGCAGAGAGGCTGGTAAGAGCAGTGGCAATTATGCACTGTGGTGGTGTGTTCTGATAGAACAGTGATGTCCTTTGAGAGGTGGTGATGAAGCCATTCAGTGCAGTATAGGTATAGACATTCTCATTTTTGGGATGTTCCTGCTGTGTGACAATGACAAACATTGTTGCAGGGTACAGCAGGGCAGTAAGATAAAATAGCTTTCTGGAAGCTACACAGTACAGACAAAACCAGAATTTAGGCACACCTAAATGCATTCTACTAAATGCTCTAAGTCTCCATGCTGTTGTCACATACAAAGGTAATTACATGTTTGAAGCTTCCCTGCTAGCTGCTTGTGGAGCTGTTCAAGAGCCCATAGGTGAGGGGGGAGCGAGACTGTGAGTCTCTCATTGTTAGAAGAAACAGGGTGAGCAAATGCCACGTGCAGAATTAGTGCTCTGATTAGCAGAAGAAAGAACTGAGTGCTGCTGTTTAAAGTGAAATTGACAAATTGGAGGATTATTAATCCACAGAATGTAAGAAAATTGCTGTAGGTGTTCAGGCCCTCCAGTGTTTGGAGTCTATTGCTTTCAGGTACAGTTGGATTTCGTGACTGTAGTGTGCAGATAGTATTAAAATCCATTTGTGCCAACTGTTTGAAATACAGCCTGTTGTGAATGCAGTGTTAAGCATTGTGGGAGCTGGGAACATTATGAGAGAAACAAAATGTTGGTATGGCCATTTAGCCCTTGTTTGAGACGCTGAACTACACAAGCAGAAGGAGATAAAAAGGAAAAAAAAACCCTGAAAATCTGGATAGGTGGAAGTTCTAGCAAATCACTGATTACTTAATGGTATCATTTGCCTCAAAGACAAAAGCATCCTGTGTCTTCGTTCTGCTGCTGGAGTTTAAGTTCAGAATATTCATGTTCCTTGCTGTTTCCTTTCCTCCAACACAATTAAAACATCTCCTGCCCTATAGTCAGCAATAAAAGAAGCACGTTGATACTGCTTTCAAATGCATGTATTATCTAGAAGGCAAGCCTATGCAAAATGTTTTCCAAATGAACTTGGTTAAAATTTCAGAATAGATGGATGTGAGGTGGGAATTTCTAGCGTGCCCAGTAATAACAGAAAAGTAAAAACTATATATCTGTTTTAGCCACATATCTCTAAAGAAGAAGGAAAAGAAACAGTGTAGAAAAAGTTATATACCATTAAAGCATTTAATGCAGATTGCCATAAGGCAAGATAACAACACTTGAATGTTATGAACTGCAGAAACTCTATAAACACATTATATTTTAAATGCTTAATCTGTTTTACAAACTATGTACATTATTCTGCTAAATAAGATGAATTGGGATTCAAGAAGCAGCACATCCTGACAAATGTCCTCCTAAAGGCATCCATTAATATAAATCAACAGTAGCAATTTTGTTTGATCATTTATTTGCAAGAATCATTAAGGTTTAATTAGCATAATTATTCCCTGTGGGACTGCATGTCACATAAATGACGAATGGCATTATCAATATTTAAAGGATAAGTATGTAATGTTCAGAGTACTTAAACAGTACTCTGCAGGTGGTGTCCAGCTGCAGCAAATTAGGTTAAGTTTGATTTCTAAATTGTAGAAATGTAATTCCAGATGAACTGTTCATTTCAAAAAGTACCAAGCCTGTGTACTGCACAAAGCATCAGCACACGACCAACTCTGTGTGGAGTTCCTGCAGTGTGTGCGCATCATCTTCTGATTTCAGGTGAGCAGCTCGCCTTACTTGATGTATCAGGTGAGATGCATTGATGCAGGGAAGTAAGGGAAGGATGAGAGCTCAGCTGTGGGGTGGGAAAGTGAGCAAACTTTTGGTGCTGGGGAGCCCCACTTCTGGTGACACATGCAGTGGAGGAGGAGGGTGCGAGGTGGGGAGCCTCATGCTGAGCTGCCACTGCCCAGCCAACTGGTGAACTGCGTTTCTTTTACCACCAACTTGCTGTTTTACCAGCAGTGAAATGTGTCATTAACCACTGTGTGCTCTTCTTTTCTCTGAAGGGCTCTGAATAAAACATGAGGGAATGCACTGAGCTGCCCCAGGACCCACAGATGTCCCTGCACAGGGCTGGGAAAGCAGAGCTTCCAGCAGCCCAGCACTGGTAGGGCTGACTGCAGGGCCAGGCGCCAGTGTGAGAGATCAGAATCAGTTTCACGTTGCTCTCAGCCCTTTCTGGGATTGACATTTCTGTTTATTGCCCTTCAGTTGTCCTCCCCATTAGTTCAGCCATGTTGTGGCTTAGGTTTGCAGTTACGGATTAGTTTGTTAAATTCTCTGTTAGACACTGAAGTTGGAACATGACATCTTTCTTAGTTTTTTCCCTCTCTGCTGAATTCCTCTTCCAAGTCCCTCACCTACTGAATTACCCACAAATGTTAAAATGAACTCTTTGGAGTTACTGTGTTTGATGGCATTGTGCAGGAATGAGAGAGGTGCCGCTTTCTTCTAAGCACTTCTCTTGCTGTTATCTTTGCACTCCAGTTAAGATACACGCAGGCACCTGGGTTTGGTGCTTCCAATGAAGTGGGCAGTGCAGGGTGTTGGTGCCATCCCACCTTTTTACTGGGTGCACCATTTACTATGGGGGCTACTATAAGGAAAAGGAATAAATAAATCAGAGCTCACATTGAAAAATCTGAATAAACTACATAAAGGCTTCTGGATGAGGTTTTGTGTGCTGAGCTTCCACACCCATCAACATGTAGATCCTTGGCTGGAAGTCAGCATTAATTTGCATCAGAAGGAGCTCATTTCTTTTGCTTGAATGACAGAATCACAGAGCTGAACTTAGGATCTCAACTCATTTTCAGTTTAACTGGGGGGACAAGAGTTTGGGAGTGCATAAAGCCCTTGCTGTGCAGAGCAGAAGTGCCATTACACAAGTAGTCATATGAAATCCTGTGTATGTGTTCTGCATCAGACATTTGCTTAAAAAAAGAGAGTGATTACAGGTGAAGCAGAAAGCCTGGTGATCGTAGTTTGTATATTCCCCTGTGTTTGCTGGTTGGATTAAAAAGAGCATGGTGGACATGGTGCTCTAATTATTTTTTAATCATCGTATGCTAGCAAAGTTGTGCCAAATGCAGAGGAAAATGCCCTGCTCCATAACCCGTGCAGATCCAGCAGCCCATCAGCCAGCTGGCAGGGAGCTCGGAGTGTGCTGTGTGCTGTAAGAGCTCATTTCCCAGCTCACTGAATGGAACACATTCCTGTTGGATGGTGTACGAAACCTGGCTGGTGGTGGGGGTGTCGTCATTGTCTTTTTTCAGGATATCTGTACGAAGGAATTGAACTGCAGTACAGATTAAAATATGAAGGAACTACAGAATACAGGGCGCTTACAACATGACTAAGCAGGATAAGAGAAGCAGAAAGCCACAGACTTGGTATTGGTGGGAGTAGTAATAATAGGACAGAAACACACAGGGAAGACATGAAAGAAATGGGCAGTGAGCCCAAGCGAGTGCCCACATTGAGCCTGAACAAATCCTGAGTGCTGTATCAAAGACCTGAAACCGAGTGAAGAAAAATGTCCTGATTTTCTGCTTTTGTTTCAGTGTCCAGAAGGGTTTGGTCTGCAAGGTTCAAGAAGTACCTGCATTTAATGCCAATATGGAAATGAAGAATTGCAAGTATTGTATAGAGGTAAGACTGTGGGGTGAAAACATGATTTTGTCAACACATAAGCTAGAAGGGATTGTCTCACCCATCTGCATGCACAGAACAGAATCAAATGAAGTTGTGCTACTCTACAGTTCCTAAATATACTCCCAGCAGAATAGCTGAGGAGTTGTGTTGGTGTTATCCTGCTCTTATAACAATAATCATTGTGCATACAGCCACTGAGATCCTCCGTATAAGAAACTTCAGAGTGTAACATCTGTGGAGCAGAATTCACCCGTTGTGGTCTTTGGAATGTATGTAACCCTGTTATTTTAAAAACTGTTTCCTTGGCGGAATCAGCACACACCTTAGGTGCTTTGAGAGCTTTATAAGTCAAGAATTGATGTTAATAAGAAATAAAGAACTCTGAGTTTACCTAGAAATACATGTTACATGTAGATACAGGTTACTATAGATAAAAATTCTGATTTGTTCCATTATGTTCCATTACTGATAGGAAAATAGGTGGGGAGGTGAGAACCTCATTGTGGCCTTCCAATATTTAAAAGGAGAGTATAAACAGGAGGGGGTACATCTGCTAACGAGGGTGTATAGTGATAGGACAAGGGGGAATGGTTTTAAACTGAGACAAGGGAGCTTTAGGTTGGATATTAGGAGGAAGTTTTTCACACAGAGCGTGGTGAAGCACTGGAACAGGTTGCCCAAGGAGGCTGTGGATGCCCCATCCCTGGAGGCATTCAAGGCCAGGCTGGATGTGGCTCTGGGCAGCCTGGGCTGCTGGTTGGCGGCCCTGCACATAGCAGGGGATTGAAACTGGACGGCCATTGCGGTCCTTCTCAACCCAGGCCATTCTATGATTCTATGTTGGTCTTTGGATGCTGACAGCTTTAACTCTATCAGAACAGCTGAACAGAGATGGAAACCTACAGGTGAGCCAGAGAAATGCTGCCCCTGAAGATGAGTTTCTGGTCATGTCCTCCTAAGACGATCCTTTTTGGCCTGAGATGCTCCATTTATTCTCTTTGTGCTTTGCAAACTCAATGCTGTAACTAAATATTAAAACATCATCAGGAACAGCTGCACTTTTGCTGAGTACATCTAAAGCACTGACTGTCTTCGTTCCTTGTAGTACTTTTGTTTACAGTCCGTAATCTCATAAGTAAAAGGTAACTTCTGCCTGCTGCTGCGCTGGCACAGATTTTCCCCTCTCTTGCAGAATAATTGAAAAAAAAAATCATTATTATTTTTAGTGCTCAGATTTTCTTGACAGTGACAGCCCATTGGCTGCTAAATATGCTGTTCCATCCATCACCCACATCAGGGAAAGCAGGCAAGTGCTTCTCTGTGACTTACCTGGGTCTTTAGCAGATCAATACCACTGCTCAGACGTTTCAGACCCTTTCCTGTTAATTCACATTTATCTTTTCATCTGAAGAAGGTAAATTACCTCACAGTGACACTGTTATCCCCCACAGTGGATGTACTGTTGCAAAGTCAGCACGACCCACATATCTTTTCTCAGCTGGAACGCATTTTTCACTGTCACATGGCAGGATCTGCTAAAATGCCCTGGAAAAGTAAACCTGCGGAGTGGCATCGACTTTCTCATTCGGTGACCTTACCTGCTGTGAGCTCCTGCGTCACCTTCAATTTAAGAAGCTGAAGCAAAGGGAACCACCTCTATCCCTGTAACGCTCTATTTGATCATGTTTGTCATTGGCCAAATTCTCATTCCTCAGCAGCGTTGATTTCAGCAGTGATGAGCTGATCACTGATGGTGCTACTGGGACTGAAAACTGCAGCATTTGTTAATGCTGTGTTATCCTGAGGAAGGACTGTGCGTGCTCCTGGCTGCACAAAGCCTTTCAGGCCCTGGGGCTGTTTGATGCTGTAAGAGGAAGGTATGTACAGCAGTCACTGACTGTCTGGCTGCAGCCAGACTGCTGCAAGGAGAGGTGCTGTATGGAACAGCAGTTTATGATAGTTATGCAGCTGGGACTTTTTGCTTTCCAAACTGCAGCAAAGCAGACGTGTCTGTGTCTGTTATCATTAGAACAAGTTTGGCTGTAAAGGGCCTAGTGTAGCTGGTTGCAAAACAAGTCCATTCTTACTCTGTTCTTTCAGATGTGTTGAGCAGCTCTGTCCCAGGACTGCTCTGTTCTACAGCTTAAATCTGTGCATCTTTAAGCGAGAAACATGTTGGTGCCATCAGGACAGGGAAAAGTAGGCCTGCTTCCCACACAGTGCCAGATCGCTTTGTGGGAAGGCCCTGCTAGGAGAGCAAAGCAGGTGGCTTCTGCGGGTGGGGGCGGCTCATCCACAGAGGTGACCTTGGAGGGGAGAAGGGACGCATCAGTGACACCGGGCGCCTGCGCTGCCAGCAGGTGTGCGGATGGCCCAGGGGAGTGTGAGTTAGTGAGCAGGAGGGCGCTGTGTCCTGTGGGCTGAACTGCTGGGGGCACAGCGGGACACCGATCCGGTGGCCGTAGACAGGTCTGGAGATACAGGGCAAAATGACGGCGGGAGCATTAGGGCCTGGGGGAGGCGCTCGAGGACGCGATGAGACCAGCGGTTCCATTACTTTGTTGAAGGGTAGGAGTGGGGCCAGGGGCACACGGTGGTTTCCGTGGGGTTTCTGCAGCGCTTCTCCTCCCCAGCACGCGGTGGCTGCAAGGCCAGCAGGTCGCTCCTTTGTTTGCCATTTGCGCGCGCCACGTGTCTGCGGCCTGCGGGGGAGCACGGAGAGTCACGAACCGCCCCGAGGTGCGCGGGTACCAGAACTGTCTCTGCCCGTATTTCCGCTATGCGCTACAAGCGCTTCGCGGCACGCCTCAAACGCGTGGCAAAGCTTCCCGCGGCCCGGCCCGCAGCACAACTGCCGTCAGGCGGCCCCGCACCGCGCTCACAGGGCGCCGTCGCCCTCGCTGACCGGAAGTCGCCGCTCGCTTCCGCCGCCGCATTCCGCCGTCGCCGTGGCGACGCGGCGCGCGCTCTGCAGGAGGCATGGTGAGCGGGCGGGATGGCGGAGTCGGGGCCCGGCGGGACGGCCCGGCGCACCGCCGCTCTCTTGTCTCCCGCAGGCGTCCGCGTGGCACGGTGCGGGGCTGCCGCCGGCGGCGGAGGAGCGGGGCGCGCTGCTGAGGGCCGCCAGGCTGCGGGCGGCGGTGGAGCGGGAGCGGCGGCTGGAGGAGGCCGTGCGGACGGTGAGAACCGCGGGCGGGGCCGGGCGGGGCCGTGCGGAGCCGTGGGGCGAACCGGGGCGGCCGTCCTCGTTCCGCGCAGGGAGAGGAGCGGAGGCGGCAGAGGGAGCGGCGGCGGCTGCAGGAGGAGCGGCTGGCGGCGGAGCTGGCGCGGCTGAAGCACGAGAAGCTGAGCGATGAGAAGATGAGGCAGCAAGTGCGGGAGAACAGGTAGAGCCGCCCGCTGCCTGCTGCTGCTTCCCGCCCTGCGAATGCCGTTTGCCCTTAGGCACCGGGCTGCTTACAACGTGATACGCTTTATCTTTTTTTTTCCCCTCTCTCAGTCTCGAACTTCGAGAACTCGAGAAGAAACTAAAATCTGCATATCTGAACAAAGAGCGAGCGGCGCAGATCGCTGAGAAGGAAGCCATAGAGTTTGAGAAAATGGTAATCCCACGCGTCCTGCCTGCGCTGCTTCCAAATCCTCCTCTGTGTGCAGCAGCCGGCGGCGTGCCGTGGCACAAGGCTCACCTGGCGCTGTGGTGAAGGCAGCCGTGTGCAAAGCTGTGTGATGGGACGCGGCGGTGATTTCACTGCTCCTTAATGTTGGTGGAGGTTAAATGGAGGCGCTGTGTTGTTGTACAGTAAGCAGTCATTGCAGCAAATCCTCGGGGACAGCGGTTGGAAATGTCACTGCTGTTAAACACGTCTGAGTAACTCTATAAAGACCTGTGGGCTTCTGTGTGCGTGTGATGGCAGCGATCAGGCAGAAGATTCTGAGTGCATTGAAGTTTAGCACAAAATACAACTTAAGCAAATTGCTGTAAAGACATCTCTTCTGCTGAGGATGTTCTGCAAAGTCCTGCTACGTTCTAGTTATCACACCAACATGAGCTCATTTCACTCCTGCTGAATGCTCTGCTTGGTCCTAGCAGTACTTACAGCTGCCTTCAAGTTGCTTATATAACGGGGATTCTCTCCAAGGTTCTTCCTCCTGAGCTGAGACATTCTACATGGTGAGGCAGTGAGCGTGTGGAGAGGGGAGACTGGTTTCATTGTGCAGTGTTCCTTCCCTGTGCTGTGTAATTTTTTAAGTGGAAGTAATAATGGGAGTAAAAAGGAGTCTTTTATAGCTTTTTCTTTTATTTTCTCCTGTAGAAACGTGAGGCTGAAATAGCCCAAAAGATGAAAGAAGAGTATGAAAGGGCAGCAAAAGAAGAAAGTTTGGCAGAACTGAGGCGAAATGAGGAGAAAATAACTTATCAGCAAGAGCTGGAGAAGCAGCTTGAGGAACAGGAGCGGAAGAAGCAGGGAGTTTATGACGAGTTTCTGAAAGAGAAACTCATGATTGATGAAATCATAAGGAAGATCTATGAGGAAGATCAAAAGTTTGTAAACTTGAATTTCTATTGTTTTTTAATTTGCATATAGTTCCTTATAGGATTACAGGCTTTATTTCCTTGGCTAAGGGCCATTTCAGCATATCATTCCTATTGAATAAGTATTTATTGTCCAATTTTAGAAAAAAGAAGTTGACTTGCATGAATTTTGCTGTTTTATGAGCCAGAATATTCCACTTATTTCAGTCTGTCTTGTGTCCTTGTACCCAGACAGGAAATCAGCTTATGTTCAAGGTGCTCTCACTGCACCACAAATGGCTGCCCGTCACAGATTTCCACCTCGCCTCCCATCCCTGCTTCCCCATGGTACATGTTGTGTGCTGGTCCTATGGACACACATAGGGAAGGAGGTTTCTGGGGGCAGAGTGAAAGCGAAAAGAGTTCCATGTAAATTTAGAACAGGTTCAGAGCTTGTGAGGCACTTGGGCTGCTGGGCTTCATTCTCTGTGTTCTGTTTGAATGGAGCGTGTATAAAACAGCAGCAGTGAATACCAGTGTGTACAGCCTGTCCTCCTGAGTAAAGGCATCAGACACAAGATTCCTTTTCAGAGGTAGTTCATTAATAAATATTTGCAATTTAGGCATCAAGTTTCCAGCTGAATGGGTAAGGATGGTCGTTTAAATCTTAGTCCAGAATATATTATTAATGGTGAGCATGTGGTCTGCTCAGCGTCACACCCCAGTGTGGTAAATAACAATACTCTCTTGTTTTTTACTTTACACAGGGAAAAACAGCTTAAGTTAGAGAAGATGAGAGCAACTCAGACATATATTGAAGCTTTTAAAAAAGAACAGGCTGTGTGGAGGCAGAGGAAACGGGAAGAGATGGAAGAAGAAAACAGGAAAATTGTGGAGTTTGCCAACAGTCAGCGGCAAAGAGAAGAAGATTGGACGGCCAAAGTTAGAGACATGGAGGAGAAAAAACAACAACTTCAGGCCATGGTATTAAAAATTAAAGTTGTAGAAAAACATATTGTGTATTTTTCTCTTTTACTTAGAAATCCTTCCTTCTTATAATAGATTGCCCAGAATCTAGAAAGAGAGCAACAGAAGCGTGACGAAGTGGAACGAATACGGCAGGAGCTGTATCTGGAAGAACAACTTGAGACTGATAGAAAGAAGGAGATGGTGAGTGCTGGGAGGCAGCTGAAGCAGTACCTGTGCTGGCTGTGGGGGAGCTCACTTTCCGTGGACTCCTGCAGACATGAATATGGGTATTTTGGCACTTGTCGGTACCAGGTTTTTTATTATGTAGACAGTGACAGCCCCTGTCATTTTTTTCTCTGAGAAATCAGATTGGCTGAAGATGAATTTTTTCAAACAATTTTCGGTATACAGCATCTGACTGAATTTTCTTCATAGGCAGAAATCGAGACGAGAATCAGGCAGCGCCTGGATTTAAGGCAAATGTACGAAGAGCAGTTAGCTTTGAAGAAGGTAGCGCAGCGAGCCGTGCAAGAGGAGGAAGAAGCCTTCAGACAGCAGATGCAGGCCAAGTTTGCAGAGGATGATCGTATTGAACAGATGAATGCTCAGAAACGAAGAATGAAACAGCTTGAACACAGAAAGGCTGTGGAAAAACTTATTGAAGACCGTCACAAACAATTCATTGCAGATAAAGTAAGAGAAGTTTTCAGTTTCACCCTTGGTCTGAACCAAACCATTTTAACGTGAAAAGTCTACCCTACATCAAGGCTGTAGGGAAAGGACAGGAGAACTGCAGAGAAATGGGGAAGGGGTGGGAAGCACACCCTTGTTGTGCTGGAAGAAAGGCATCTTTCTAGAGCTAAATTCTTAGAGCTTAAAAGGTTAGAGCCTGCAGATCATTGTATACCTGACATGCTCTGCAAATAGCTCTTCAAGAGCCATGAGATCAGCGACACAAATGTTGTCCAGCTCATCCTCCCTGATCAGCCAGCACAACTGAGGGTGCATAAAAAGGGGGAACCCAGCCCTGATTTCAGACTGTGTCCCCTTTTAGCATCTGAGGAAGAAAAACCTTTACATGAACTAAAAACATCTACTCTGTAGTTTTCAGTCTGCACACGTATAACGTGAGCTGTGGTTTCTGCACAAGAACACGTGTCTGTTTTTCTTTTCCTGGAGCAGAGCAGTGAAGCAGGAACAGACTGTGTTGTCTAGGGGCTGGCAAGGAACCCGAGCTTTGCTTACTAGTCTTTTAAAAAGGGCTTTTAAATAGCATAACTACAGCCCCATGTCTTGCTATTCAGTCTTCTTTTTTGTCGGAGATACTTCTTCTACTTAACATGTACTTTGTACTTTGGTTCTTTGATACACGCTTTTCATCCTTCTCATATCTATTTTCTTGTGACCAGGAGTCAAAATTAAATGAAAGTTCAAAATTTACTCCACAAAAAAACCAAAAAAAAACAAAAAAAAAACACCTCTTTAATCCTTAGTTTCTGTTGGTGGAAATAAATCTTCATGGAGCTGAAACTCAACAAAACTGGCTTGTTTATTGTAGGAGCATGAACTTGAAGAATGGCAGTTAGAGGAGAAAAGACAAGCAAACATTCGTGCAGTTGTTGAAGAAGAGAGACAGAAACTCCTGAAAGAACATGCATCTAAATTACTGGGTTATCTTCCTAGAGTAAGTGATTATCTGTTAAATGCTTTACATGTTTATTCTATAAATGGTTTTTTTTCTTGGCTAGTATAAGGTAAAGTTGTTAGCCATGTGAATTACATGGAGTGAGTGTCTTTATTGCATCAGCTCTTGTCTGCTCACCTCGGATTGGAAAGCAGATGAAAGAACACTGAGAAGCTTTGGGCTGTACTGTAGCCTTATTGAGGCCATGTGCAGAGCTTGCTGATTGCTTCCACAGCTCTTTGCAGATCCAAAGCTTTTGGGATACGGAATGTAATTTTTAAAGCAGAGCTTTTCCAGCTCCACTATAAGACAGTTTTGACCAACTTCTTCCATTTGGGTTTTTGGAGCAGTTATCTGTGTTGTTGGCTGCCTTGTTTGTCTTCTGTTGGCATGGAAACAAGGCCTCTTCCCTGTTACAGTGCAACAAACGGCAGGGCTCACAAGAATGTCAGTGCTCATTCTGTTCATCCTTGTCTTTTTAAGGGTTATAGAGATGGAAGCAACTCTAGTTACATGAATAAAGTACAGTTTATAGTACATTTCATCATCATGAAGATCACCTGATGGTACAAAGTGAAAGAGAGCTGCTTTTAGGATGTAAAGGTGCAATTAGAGGAGGGAAGGAGTTACTCAGATGTCTAAAGAAATTGTTTCCTGCAGTACTGAAACACATTGTAAACATAGCAAATGTTATTTCTAATCAAATAATTACTATACTCACTTTGTGCATGAATTGGTAAGACTTGGAAGTAGAGATTCAGAGAGTTAATTTCCAGTGAGGATGCAATGGAAGCGCAACACAAAAGGGCACGACTTTTGATGTAATTTCCTGCTTTGAGTTGACTGTTGTTGAACAGCTTTGGCTGTTGCAGTGTCCATGGCTCATATCTGCCCCATGGTACTGATGTCCTACTGTTCTTTCTCTGCTTTAATGAGACCTGAATAGGGTGTCACATTGCATGGGACTTCACTCAGAATGTATTGATGGCAAAGTTCTTCCTAGCTCTGAAGTCTCCAATACTACTTCAGCACGCCTGAATGTGGACATGAAGCCCCAGCCAAGCCAGTGCCTCTTTTCAGTGTAGTTTCTTGATTTTTTGCTAAACCTATAGATGTGCTCTGCTGCCTCTAGTCACTTTTATTAGAAACAGAATGCAGATAAACATTGTCTTTTGTATACTGCTTATGTGACAGTCGTTACTGATTCTCACCCCAATGTGCCTGAACAAAAAACGCAGTTCTAGGTTAGCACCAAGTACAGCAGTTAGAAATTCATCCACTGGGTCTTGGTGATGCTTTTCAGAGCTATTTGTTGTTTTGTTTTAGAGATAACACAGGTTCCAAGGTATTAGCTATACAATCGTTTCCATTAAAAAAATGCAGAGATCCATAATTATCTGTTTAATTTCTTTTTATCTTCTGTGGTGCTTCTTTCTCCAGGGAATACTCAAAGGAGAAGATGATATTAACATGCTTGGTGAGGAGTTTAGGTTGGCTTATCAGAAGAGAAGAGATAATCCATCTTCTGAAGAGAGCTGAAATTTCCACTGCCTGCCCTCCTGCTTTGCCACTAGATGTCATCTGATTGCTAATGCAAATGTCTACCTGCTGTTAACAGCAAGGAACTCGTTTTTATTCTCATAAAAGTCTCCATTTTAAGACTGGAGCTCTGAACTGAAGAACGGCTCATCTTATTTAAATGCACTTAAATTTTTCAGGAATAAACTGCTACAGATTTCTCAATAATCTATCAGCTAAATACAACTGAGTTAGTGATGAAGCAGTGTTTGAAAATGTTTTCTTCAGCCCACGGCAGAAACCTGAAGTAGTGCAAGTTCAGATGGGTGTCACATAACAGACAATACGATTATCTTAATGCACTGTTTCTGTTTGTAAGTTAACGAAGTATCTACATTTGCATTGTACTGTTAAATAACTAATCTAAAGGTAGGTAATACAAATCACTAATGGTAGATCACAATTACTTTTTCCACTGCTAGCTCACGTGATTGTGCTAGTAAAATCTGAGGTGTAATTCTCATTTTGAGATCAGAGTCATAGAATCATAGAATTGCTCAAGTTGGAAAAGACCTTAAAGATCATCAAGTCCAGCCATGACCTAACCATACTACCCCAACTCTAACAGCCCTCTGCTCACGTCCCTGAGCACCACATCCAAATGGTTTTTAAGCACATCCAGGGATAGTGACTCAATCACCTCCCTGGGGAGCCTATTCCAGTGCTTCACAACCCTATCTGTAAAGAAGTTTTCCTTGATATCCAGCCTAAACTTACCCTGGTGCAGCTGGAGGCCATTTCCCGTCGTCCTGTCACCAGTGAGAAGAGACCAGCCCTGCTCTCACTATAAGCACCTTGCAGAGTCATTGCTAATAGCCTCACTTCAAACAAACTTTGTGTGTCACTGTTCTACTAAATCACTCTCAGGAATCCACTGAAATAGCTGAGGTTTAACAAAGCTTCATTAACCAGCACGGGCTTTTATTACTCTTGTTCATTAGTGTACATGATACGCATGGTTCATCTACACCCGTATTTTTATTTAATACTCTGTTATAATGATGAGATGATAAACTTTTTCAGGAGATAATGCATGTAGAGCACCTGTGATATGGAGCCATTGCTGCTGACTGTATCCATTACCAGTATCTAATGACCACAGAAATATATGAATATTTATATTTATTTTTTTTACCTTGACTAAATAAAATAGGAACTTTCAAACAATAAGCTGTATCAGATTATAGTCACTCTGGCTTCTCTTTAGACTGAATGTTACCTTATTAACAGTTTTGAATGCTAAAACAGAAGAACAGATAACAAAGTTCACCTGCTCTGTGTGCCTCCTGGCTCCTTACAGAACAGACAGCTGGGCTCAGAACTTCACAGGAAATCTGTATTGCATGTGACATTCCAAAGCAGCCTGTCAGGCTTTTGAAAGTGAAATAATTTCAATGTTAGCAAAACCACCAAAATCCATTCTCTGAGATATATTTGTTAACTATCAACATACACTACAGTGCCAAAACAACGTACCGTCTGCTTTGTATTTCAAACAAGTTTGAATCAATCATTTCCCCACTCAAGAGCTTTCATGAATTCCTCTTCAGTAAAAGAAAGCATCCTAGCAGCTTCAATGTGCATCTCAAAAGAAATAAAACATAAATCAGGAGCAGAAGATAAAGCAGCATGAATGACAAAGACCTGCATGACTGAAGGGGGCTGCAAATCGATTGCTCTGTGTTTTCCTGCTGTGGTTCTGGTGGAGGCTCACCTGTTTAAGATGAGGTTGCTATTCATATTTTTTGCAACAGTTTGATTTTATAACGTGTGGATTGTGATAAATTTTATGGTTAATATTGCAACTTCAGCTCTAGTAAAAGGATCAGTGGCTTCTCTTAATTCTTTGTATAGCTTTAAATATATTTTTTTTTAATGGAGCATAGAAATTACTGGAAAACAGACCATTCCTGTGTCCTCTTACAGAACACATAAGAAATACTGTATGCGTTCAAGCTGATCAATATTCAGCTAAATTTTAAGTTATACAAATCAAATGTGTCACTAAGATTCAGTCAGAGTAGCAGTGCTGCTAAATGTATGATTTAATGTTAAATTAGTAAATTTTAGCAAAAAGATTCCTAAATAGTATAATCAGCATAAAGCAAAGCATTAAATTAATACAGCTTGCTGAGAGGTGGCTGGAGCTGACCACCCTTTGCTGTGTTGCTGTTAAGTCTTGCTGTACAGAGGTGGTCCATTATGGCACGTATGTGTAGGAAACAGAACATTGCTTTGAGTGGAACAAACAGAATTTTAAGCTTACTACAGGGCTGCTTTTTGATTAAAAATTGTAATTGTCAAGAATGTCATCAAGATGACTTTCAGGCCAATGTATTTGCACAGAGCTATCACTCAAAAGCAAGCAGCAGCCAGAAAGCCCTGGAAGCTCACTGCTTTGCAGCTGCTGTCACGGTAAACATCCCAAATATGCCACATCCCCCTCATCTCTTATCAACATTTCAAGTAGCAAGGAAAGTGTCCAGGCTAAACAGTTTTTTAAACACGAGGACTGTTCTGAAAGAAACAGGAACAGTTCACATCTGCAAGGTGTCTGATTTTTCCCTATATATGTACAGACATCTTGTTGGTTCTAAACAATGCCTAGTCAGCATGTGTAATTCCCACAGATAGATAGCCTAAAACTCAGGTTTAGTTCCACTAGATTCCTTTTAAAACTAAGATCTTCTATGATCTTGAGGCAAGCAGAGGATGGTCTAAAGACCAGTTTGAATACCAACAGCTACTTGCTGGCAGCTGCAACTTGTCCTGCTAATGGATATTTAATACTTATTGGGTTTTTTTTTTTTCTTCTACTATTCTTCATGCAGTAATATATCCTCACCTTCATGTGAGGTACATCTGAATCCACAAATATACTACACAAGTCAGCCAGGCTAGGGTTTCCTTAATTCAACAAAAGGCTGCTGTGAAATGAAATTAAGTTCTTCTGGTGATTACGTATATTGGTGTCATGTGAGCTTAGCTGCCTTTCCCAGTTCCTTCTGCTGGGAGGAATAAAGGCAGCATTTGGTATTGTTCTCAGGTTCTTCGACCCCCTGCCTGTTCTGAAAGGACTAACAGCAATCTTCTTCTGTGAGTATATGTTTTTATTAACAGAAGGGAAATGATTTCTTCTATTATCTGCAGTTTTTATGTGGTATTAATAATTTTTAATGTAAGTTTTGTGAAGTTTATCTGATGCTGATTTTGGTTCAATCAAATGCTGTTCCTTGATGCTCATTTCAGTGAGTTGGTGTTCTAGAGAATGAGTTAGCTCATGTATGGAGTATCTGTTGTGTGAATGCTGTGGTTTTTCCATTCTCAAAATAACTTTGAAGAGTTAAGAGAGCAAGACATGGCTAAGTTAACACTATTTCCAATGTTTCTTTTGGTTCTGGTGTGGTCAGAAAAATTCATGCACTGGAAGTGTGTGAGCAGCCCCAGTTGTTCTTATTCCTATTACCCGGTCTCCTCCGTTCTGTGCAGGAGATGTATTCAAAATCCCAGGGTGTGTTTTCATGGTGTGGTTCTCTGTTGTTAAGTACGTGCAGTCTGTGTTATGAAGTTGCCACTTCATACAGAACTGTTCTTTCTCTGTGGAGGCTCAGCAAGTTCAAGTGTTTACTAAGTGTCAGGTTCTCACTGCAGTAAAGGGTAAATGTTCTATTTTCTTATTGTCAAGGCTACTACTTCTAAGGTGCTTCTGCTCAAGTCACCATTCCTTGCTTTCTTTATCTGATAGCCTTGGTTTGTGAGTGCAAAAAGAAGAGCCTTAACTCTACCACTGATACTTCTCATTCTATGCTGTTCAGTGCTTTGCCTCAATAAAGGTTCAGCACTAAGCAAATGTGAACCACTGTGAAATTAAGATCATATTTACACTATTCTGAGGCATTTAGCCCTGCAAATCTCCTGTGCAGCCTCAGAAAGAAAACTGAGTTAGGATTGGATGCAATCGCTCTGTTAAGCAAAAGCTGTGCTGGGAGTGTAAGACCTAAATGCATCAATACATGGAAATATTTTTTTTTATTTGGGCAACATCTTTTAGAACATACTCTTTTCACTTCAATTTGCTTTCATCAAAACCTGCAGGATCTTCCACTTTGTTCCAGATCTGTACATGTACAGAACACCTCAGAATACAAGCACCAAGAGGCAATATTAATAGATAAGGGCATACTTTGAGAATCCAAGAAAAATGTGGGGCTGAAATGTAATCGTGAGATTACATTAATCGTGAGAGGGCGCTAGAGGTACAGCTGTTGATAGAGTAAGAAACATGCTGGAGAAAGAGACAACAAAACTCAATGCTAAAATGAATTGTATTGATGCAGCACCACAGGGAGCTGCTTGCAGGTACTACCTGAACAGTATTTCTTTTCTTAAACAAACAGGTACTCGTGGTCTCAAAGCTTGTTGGTGGTAATCTTTCACCATGACAGGATATGTTCCAAGTTAGGAATTGAGCCAATTCCAAAGAGGATGTCAGTGATGTGTACTAATGAAAGTGAAGCAGCTGTTCCGCTGCACTGAAAATTTCTGTTCTTGGGGCTGTGATTTATGTGAGTGCATCACTTGAAAACAGGCAAGTTCAGCCAAGTTATTTGAAAGACAACAATATTTAGGTTCTTACCTTTTGTCTCTTTAAAATATCAATTAACTTCAGTTGCTTTTTGAAACCTGTTATTAGTTCTCCTTTTTGTTTCTGCAGTTTCTTGTTTTCTGCCTTTAATTCTTCAATTATTTTGAGTTCTTGGTTAGCTACATCCTGCCATGGGAAGGTGAGAAATGTATTATTCATTTAAGTAAAGCTTTAACTGGAGAAACTTGGCATAACATTATAAATGGCAGATGTTAGCCCCATGACACATCGGGAAATAAACTGGATGCCTTAAAATATTCCCTCACCAAAACTTAATAAAAACTCAAAAGAGGGCATTTACTGGCTTCTAACAAGTAGATTAATATTGTAGTTTCCTGTGTACTTATAAGGTGTTTAAGTGTCTCTCTCTCTCTCTGCAGGCCCATCTAATTTCAAAAAAGAGGGGCAGACAGGCTCTGATTTTATTCTGTGCATCTTTTCCTGCAGTATTATCAGTAGCAATAAGTTACCAGGCCCCTTGCTGATCCGTTGTGAGTTACTTCTGGGGTAGCCTGTAAACGATGGCATACTTCCAAAGCTGATCAAGCCTCTGGGCTCCCTCTAGCATTACTGAATAATCACAGACTTTGTTTTTCTAAGCCACTGTACCTTGTTACTTTGCTTCAGTTTATTCAGCTCTGCTTTATACTTTTCTGCTTCTTCCAGGGCCCTATTTAAGCGAACCTCTGTTGCGCTCTGTCTGCTTGCAGCTTGTTTTTGTACACGCTTTAAATTCTCTAATTCCTATACAGGAAGCAAAGGATAAAAACAAACATTATGAATCATGGTACTTTAAGGCATGCCACAAAAGCAAAGCGTTTACAGCGATGGTCATCCGTGAGAATTTGAGTGGATTTCTGTGGTCTGCAAACAGAATCAAATAACATCAATTTCACTACTCTGAAGTCCTTTTCCTTTCACCTTATACTTCTTGAAAATGGGTCTGTCTTTCTAAAAATCTCTTAACATTCCCTTAAATGTACTGTGAACTGATCATGTAAGACTATGGGATTGACTGGAAAAAAATAAGTTGTATGCTCAGTGCAAAAAATGGGAAGTGCTGCTGTGTCCAACCTGGAGCAGATTTTGGAACAGCAACTATTAGTGCAGCTGCTTTTTTTTCACCTCTTTTTCTCACAGATTATCACATGTAATTAACAACAAGAAGTTAAAACAGCCTGCTTAAGATGCCTCAGGGCAGTAACTATTTCATCTAACTAAAAGTAGTTCATCAAGTGTTTATGGCAACAATCAAAACAGTTCCCTCTCATCTCTGATATGATAAGTATTAGTGCTGCAAGTCAGGAAATAAGGAAAAGAGACCAAGCTGAGAAACAATAATGAGATTAAAGGTTGGGGAATATAGATAAAAGACAAAGTAGAAGAAATAAGCAGTTCTGGCAGAAAGAGCACATCTTGTCATTTGTGAAAAAGAAACAGACTTTTTTTTTAAAGAAAAAAAACTATCAAACTTTTGGGTACGTAAAGACATTCTGTTAAGCAAACGGGCAGGGGCTTTTTGTTAGCCGTCAACCTTCAGGCTCTCTTGTTTCTGAACTGCCTTTTTCCACCCTCCCTTCTCAGTGTTTTATAGTAGTACCATTATTTGTCATGATCAAATCTAGTGAGAAACCGTGTCAGCTTCTAGAAAATGCACCAGATTAGGAATAACTGAAGCAAGTGAGGGGAAAAAATCCCAAGCAAAGGCAACTGAGGAAAGAGACCACATTCTGCACAGTGTATTCTGTCTTCCCTGTATTTTGAGTCTAACATTCTCCTGGTTACATTACATATAACCAACTGACTGAAGTATTACATGATTTTCTTGTCAACCTCTCCAGCTCTCAGCAATTACAGAAAAATACATGCTACTCTTAAATTAAGTTCCAAACAAACAAAGCTGGGTGTAAGGCTGTCTGCTCTGACTGGGCAAGTTAATACTGATACATCCAACCTGTAGTGGCTGGTTTACACACAGACTGTTTCAGAGGACAAAGAGCCACCCTTTCCTCTACTTGTAGTTTTGTTTTGTTTTTGAAACTTTCAACAAGTTCTGCAATTTACACCAAAGCTATCGTTACCAGAAGTAATTTTTGACAACTACAAGAAAATGTCAGAAAAATTTCCTTGTATTTTTCAAGACTTTATGGATTTCATGGTAGTTTCTGAAAAGGTTGCTTTGTCTCTTGCATATCTTTTGCTAAAATACAGAGTATGATTGTAGAAGCAGAAGAAAAGCAAGTATCAAAATCGATCATTTCTCTCTCTTACAAAGTGATACAAAATACAATTTCAAAATACAATTTCTAAAGCTGTTTTTGGAGATTGGAAATGTGAATGGAATTGCTGGATACAAATAAGTTGAACTTGTCTGAAGGGACTAATCTGATGATTTCCCCCACTGTGAGATAAACGAGACTCATATTTGCAATACCTTTTCTAGTGAAACAACCTCTTGCTGTAATCCTTCACACTTTTTGCTTGCTTCTTGTGATAACATCTTGTATTTCTCAGTCTGAGACTGCTGCACGCTGATCTTTCGTTGCAGTCTCGTCCTTTCTTCTTCAGTATCTTTAAGCTGAGATTTTAAATTCTGATTTTCATCATCCTGTTTGTCAGCAGTTAGCAAAAGCAAACAAAAGATTGCAGGAGAAAAATGTGATAGCAATATATTGGCACTTCTATTTACAAAATATGCACTGCAGATATAATGATTATCATTTTTGAAAAGTGCTGTTATTTTAAAATATCGAGATGCTTCATGATGGATTTCACAATAGCTGTGAAGACAAACTAAGAAAACAAACCACCAATTTAGCAGGGCAGTACTACAAAAAACAAATCTATATTCTTTTTCTCCTCATTTCTGCAGTCTTCTATTTCAGACTGTCAGGGGGACAGACTGAGTTTTTTCACAGATAAGAGAACTTACCTTTCTGCTGCATTCGCACACGATGCTATCCAGCTCTTCCTGCATAACACGTAACTTTGCCTTAAGAAACCTGATTTGTGTTTCTGCAGAGATAAAAAGTTACACTTAATATCCCCAAGGATTCAATGTAGAAAAGAGACAAGAGCCATGTAACAACAATTCATTTTCTTTTTTTTTTTGTTTTAAAATAGCATGCTGTGTTGGTAGTTTACTGAACAGAAATAGGTCAATTGAAACTAACATTTCTAAATAAATGTTGCAAGTTTCTAATTCTTAGGGAAAGCTTAGGGAAATTTTTATTTTTAATGTCTGAAAACAGCACTTCTAGAATATAAAAGACTCAATTCTCAAAATTGAACATTTCTGGAACCTTTTGTCATACTGCACTATATGTTACAGCATGCTTGAAGTCAAGGAAACTACGTCATAGGACAATTCTACAGTGCAATCAATCTGTACTGTGATTTGTGAGTTACAACTAACTTTATGTTGCTCCGAAGGAACTAAATGTAGGCTGCAAATTCCTCCTAATAGGTAAATACTCATCTATGCAGTAGTCTGTGCTTTTTTAAGAACAATTCTAACAATACTCAACCATTTAAGATCCAACACATTCAGAGGGTGTTTTTCCCAAATGCAGTCCTCTCCTGCTCTGGGGCAGCTAAAACGTATACTAGCGTTGTGACAAAACAAGTGGAGGGGAAGAGAGCATGTTCTGCTTCCGTTCCCCACTCTCTCACGGATTACTCACAAGGAACTGCCTTTGAACTTCCATGCACAAGGCATGGAAACAAAATGAGGGTCAAGCTGAGCAACACAGGAACAGCCACTATGCACAGCAGGTACAGTGGGAGAAGAATGAAGGAGAGGAGGAGTATATCAGAAGCTGAATAGGAATGGATGGATGGGCACATCTGTTAGCTTGCTCTGAAAATTCCTAGTAGAGAATTCTAAGTAGAATTCCTTTTATTTCACACACCTTATCAGCTGTAGGGTGCAGCTGAAATTGTAACTTCCTGAGCTGCAGACATACTGAAGACATCACATTTAATTCTCTCATGTACTTCTGTATTACCGTTTCCCTTCTTAAAACACATTGTATGTAGATACTCACCATGTCCTGGGGCAGTAGGTTATCTAATTCCGTTACAGACTATAGAAAAAATACTTTGTTTAGCTTGCTTTAAATCCAACTTTGTAGTGTTTGTTAGTGTTTCTGTTGGGGGGGGAGGGAAGGGGTAAGCAGCTTTCCTTTTACCATTAATGACTTGGTTACAAAATCTTCCTTCAGCGTAAGTGTGGGCCCAGTCCCCCAGTAACAGGGGCTACTTAGTATATATGTTTACTTTCTTATGATGATTGTAACTGGTTTTGAGATTTACCCCGCTAATCTGCTCAGCAACTGTTTCTTTACCATGTTAAGGATGAACTGCTGCTCTCTGAGGCATTCCAGGTGTTCTCAACAGGCAATGACAAATTTTAGAAGGATAAACCATTCCACAGTGTTTTCAGTTCACTTCATCATTAAAGCAATAGAAATAATCCTCACTATTCACTATTCATGAGCACCAATAACAACTCCCCTTGAGGTGTAAGATTCCACTGCAGTACCAAGCAATGAAAAAGAACTATAATAAATAAAAATCTGAGGATCTGTATTGGGAGATTTAAAGAAAGATTTGAACACAATTACATGAGGTTAGAAACCAAGCTAATTCTGTGTAAGTATGCTTGCTGACAGAGCTGTTAGATTATATGAGGAGGGTTTTTTTGCATTTTTTCAATTGCTGCAGTGAATCTGACTTCATGCTTACTTTGTCATTGTAAGAAATGATATAAACCTTTTAACACCCCAGAGCCAAAAAGACAGATGTGCATCATGCCTTTATCTTCACAGGCAAATGTGGCAGTCTCCCTTCCCACTCCATTTCTAGGACAAAGCAACATTAACTCAGAGCACAAATATCTGGAGGGTCCTCATTCATGCACTGTAACAGCAACATCACTTCACTCAAGCCGCTTAATCCACAGATTTGAGGAGAATCTTTTCTCTAAAGGCAGAATTTGCAAAAAACCTGAAGTTTATTTTTTTTGGAAGTATAAGCTGAGCATCATGTATTTCTGCTTCCTGAAATTGTGCTATCCATATATTCAACATTTTTAAAGGTTCAGATGTCTTCTTGTAAAGAAGGAAATCAAGACAAAAATTCACTTTTCCCCCCCATGATTACTCACATATGACCTCATCTTCCTTTAGGACTACTTAAGAAAAACCTTTTCATTTTAACACAGTATAACTTAAGGGCATAAAACTTTCCCTATAATTTCTACATAATTTTTTCTTTTCCCCCCTTAGGAGAAATCATTACTAGCAGTCAGGGAGTACAAATAACATATGAAACCTACCTGCTCCAACTTCACTTGCAGTGTTTGGAATAATATCATCATCCAGACAATCTGGCAAGCCTCCTTTCTCTACTTTTCCTTCAATTTCACTCACTGTTTTTGCTAAAGAAAAACCAGTGCAATCCTCCAACACTGCAACATCATCAGCATTTTGTGTTTCCAGATTGATTTCTGAACTAAAATCAAGCAAGAAGGAAAAAAAACAAAAAACAAAAAAAACCACAATAACAAAAAACCCAAAAGCACTGTTTTACATTTAAAATATAAAGCAAAAATTACAGAAATACAGTATTTGCTGTATGTAATGCAACTTCATTGCTTGCTCTCCCAAAAACTAACCAATGGCAATTTCTCATTTTCCTTATGTAAAATACTATTATCTTCCACATGATTACAACAGCCTTTGTATTATAATGTAGAAGCAGATAAATTACTATTTTCTACGAGGATGATTTTAGTATGCCTCTTTCTCATCCAACAATTTCATACCTCAGAGTAGGGAAAAGAAACAGGAATGCTCTTTAGGGCTTAACTATTGTCTTAAATTTCAGTTTTTTCCCTTGACTGTTAGTTTTAATCTTATTATTGGATAGGACAGTTCACTAATCCTAGAAGTTGCAAATGTTAGTTTTTATAACAGCAGTGAACACAATGCATACAACACAGATGCTGCATAGGTCACCTTCTCCTACAACTCTAAGTTCACCTTATAGGTTCTGCACCTGTGCAACTCTATTCCTAAATCTCATTATATGGTGTCAGCACAACAACCTCAGTGGAATCCAGGAGGTAGAAAGGGTCCACAAGTGACTCCCACATCTCAAAAGATGTTCTTGGCCAGTACTGATTCTGTGTTCTGTCGCTCTGCAGACCATTTTTATCCTATTTTGGTATGTGTCCATGCTTTCTCTTGTGGCAGTTTTCATTTGCGCTCAGGATTTTATCCACAAACATTTTTCTGTTATTTCTCTACTCTTCTGTTCAGAACCCAATTTCTTGGTCTTAGGACCTTGCATTTGCTATCAGAGATGTAGCTGTTCAGCAAAAACTGAAAACCCCAGGAGGCTGTGGTACTGTTACTGACTTTCTCTAGTTCTGTAGCCCTAGATTCACCAAAATAGCAGAGAAGCTAGAAGGCCTCATGTTTCCCATAACAGGTCTGATCACAAATTAGCCTGCATCACTGCTGTGAACTCTGTTTACCCCAGATGCACTTCGAGTGTGCTCACTGGGCATCCTTTTACTGACAGAATTAACAGAGCTTAACTTTGTCAGCCTCCAGAAAAGCTTGAGTGGAGGTGAGTTTAGGTAACCAGACAGCTACCTGGGGGAGCTGACTACAGAAATAATTTGGTGCATTTTGTCATACAGATATCATATACATATATATATATAAATGTAGAAGCATGTATGAATAAAAACACCCTGCTAAGACAAAAACAAAACCCCAAATTCTTGATTACAAACAACAACAAAACACGTGTAATATACCTTGATGTTATTCTTTTCCCTTTATTTCCAGAATACGTTCTATTCTGAACCATGGATGCAGAAGCACATTTCTTTTTGTTTGATGGCTGTAAAATTTCCCAGAAAACAGGGATTTTTATTAGTTAGTAATGACTTGTTGCTAGCATGTGTTTTGTCTTTTTATTTCCCCCCTTCTTCATATATTCATGCCCAACATATGATTTCCAAAGTCTCAGTATCTTAGATTTATTCAGTTTTATTTGTACTAGTCATTATGTTGCATATTTTATGCCCATATGCCCAAATTATATACATTGAAACATTGCTACCTGGTAGGCTCTTTTTCAGATGCACTCATAATAAATAATAACTTAATTGATAATAAGGCTCCCAGGTATTATCAAGTTATTAACTATTTGCTGTGGACTGTGTTTCTTTGAACACTGTTTATCGTGTCTTCAAAAATGCCTTTTCCAAAAAAATAGTACTGTTGTAATTTAAGATCTCTAAAGAAAGATCTAACAACATTTTGTTTCTTTCATCCAAGTAAATGGTGTGAAGAACATTCTGGAAACTTTAATTTGTCAGCTGAAAAACTCACTGTAATTCTAATTGGAGACCAGCAAGTTACATTACTTTGTTCCTAATTTAAATCTCCCTTTTCCTTTGCATTTTCCATCCCGTATTAAATTCTTTTGACCACAAAAAGGCTGTAGAACTGCCCTTAGTATTACACTGGGGAAAGGAAGAAACGAATTATGTTTTGTACTTACAAGTGACAAATAAGCTTTTACAGAAGAGAAATTTAAAATACAAAAATGAAATATAATGGAAGCCTACTTAACCAGTGGTGGAGCTGCAGAAGTATTGGAGATGCTGCTCCATCTGTCCCTGTAACAGTCTGCTCTGAGCATCCTTTCCCTCAGGCTCCCTACCCATGTAAGCCCCATACAGCATGGCCTCAAAAACAGAAGAAATAGGCAGAAGCAAAATTAGTTAGAATAATTTTGAGTTTGATACCTTGGTGTGAGAGTGCATAAGAGATGAAACTTTAAGAAAGAGTGGATCTCTGCAGAAAAAAAAAAATAAGTTCACTGAGTATAGCAAAAATCAACATTTTTGTGATAACAATCCTCCATCACCTGGATTAGGAGAGTAACATTAGATGTATCTACCATCAGCAGAATGTAGGAACATATGCCAGGTCCAATCATAAATTCAGTCTCATTCCCATTTCCATTCTATCTCATTTGCTGCATAAATCACCTGAGGAGTCTAGGATAATCACTCCATTATGGTCTCCAACACAACAGTTTGCTTATGTACTGGAATCTGAATCTCATCTCTTGCAGTGCAGGTAACTGCAGCAAATATGACCAGTGATTCCCTGTACCAGGGAGCACTTAGCTAGTGTATGGATGGAGCCTTAACAGCTTCAGCAGGAGACAGGCAACAGGACCAAAGTTCACCAGCAGTTCAGTGACTCAGATGCTCACCTGACATTCCAATAAGTGAATTAATGCAAAACAATAAAGATATAGGCCTGTGTTCTCTACCTCTGAGAATGGAAATGCTTACATTGACTGTTGGCAGTTGACAGGGACTGTAAAATAAACGGGAGATGGGAGCAATTTATTTAAAGTAAATTTTTAAAGTCTCACAAAATTTCCTCTGAAATACATATTGCCAATATTGTATCCATTTTATAGATTGGGGGGGAGTGGGGAGGACGGAGTGAAAGAGTAGCTTTCTTATCTATTTATTTGGCTGAAAACCAAATTTCAGGTTAAATGATTATTTTGGAAGACAGCAGAAAATTTTAGCATGTTGTGTACTATTCAAGTTTCATGTCAGATGTACAATTTCTTTGTTTTCAGAGTTACGTAGATCTCTATCAATCCCCTGAATGATTACCTTTTTCTACCACTTTTTACAGTTTCTAACTCCTCAATTAACATGTAAGCTTATATTTGTAATAAATTTTAAATTTTAGGCACATGAAGTCACCTCAGCATTTCGGTCCAGCTGACCTAGACAAATATTTAGGTTTTGCCTTTAAAAAATTTTAGACACCCATTCAGCAACAAGAATTATCTGAACAAAGCTCCAGAATGTACTAATAAAAAAAAAAAAAAATCCAAACAAAACCAAAACCAGCACAGGAGAAATTATCTGTGTGGCTGGCAACAGACTTCAAGAATAGGATGATTAGTTTTTGTCTATTTACCCTATTTTCCTCATGCTCCCTTCCTATTGGCTAGTTTTAGAAGATGTAGAAAGTGAGGAGTTGTTGCCACAGAAATAACAGTTACATTTTCTGAAAAATAAGAAAATACAACATTTGATGCTCAAAAAAAACAAAGCATTCTTTTGATCAATAGACTGATCTGTTCCTACTGAGTCCCTTGTCCCCAGCCTTCCTCACAAAACAAATAAAAACCTCATCGTTCACCAAATTTCTTAAATTTGTTTATCCTTATTAGAGTTTTTTCTTCTTCTTTCCCACAACACTTTTTTAAAGCCTTGCAATACAGCTCTGTAGTTGCTCAGTAAGTGAAATGAATATGTAAAACGTGAAAAGGTATAAAATAGGCAGCTAGACAGTTGCAGTGACACTGAAAGAGAAGCTAATGTTTAGCATTTCCATCTCAGCACGTACATACGAGGTGCATGTGCATGAGCAAACCCTTTGTGTTTTGCTAATCCTATTCAAAGCCTGCCCATGCGCACACAGATCCCATCTCTGTGAGCCTGGTGATGCTCCGAAGAGCAAAAGTGTAAACAAAAGCTGATTTCAATGCAGTGTCAGTGGAGCTGCTTTGTCTCTGGGTAATTCGCATTTCTCTGCAAAAACATGAGCTATAAAATCTCCTCCATTACTTATTTTAAAATACATCCCTCGAGAATGACTTGAATATTTTTCTTATTAATTTTTGCCACTCGTCTTTTTTCTCATCCTGTCTCTTAATCTCAATGTTTTCCCTTCATTCCAGTGTCTCTAGTGTTCATTTTCCATACAGGAAATAATGAAACTTGCTTCAAAAAGATTTTAGATGCTTCCTGTGGATTTATGGCATATTTGCTTGCATAATTTTGCAGGAAAAATAAATATCAAATACTTGGAACTAATCTAATTGAATGGCCTCAATGTTCACTCATGGATAATCAGTGTGCCTGATTTCTAACATACGCTTGTATTTTTTTTTCACTCCAGCATGGGATTTCAATTCTCTTCTATCCCTGTTTACCAGAACACAGTGCTTGTTTTGAGATCTTTTAATTTATGTAGATAATTGGTAGATTAGCTGCTGCTCTGATGCACTACTTACCAACATTTTCATAATGATTCCAGCACTTCCATTTATTTCAAATGTATACCACCATAGCTGCTAATTCTCTTTATAGGGCTCATTCCTCTGATCACATTAATTTGTAAAGTTACTCTATAGTTCAACTTTGTTTTGAAATTCATAGAAATCTTCTGTCAAGTATTCAAAATTCAGCCAGCAGAATATAATACTAAAGAGCATCTATGCACTAGAATATGTTTACAATGCAAGACTATACCAGTAAGAGATGGTGCATTTTTTATTTGTTTTTTTTTTTTTTTTCCTGACCTTCACAACTTCAGAAACAGCCTCAAAATAGCTCAGAAATAATTGTTACTGTAGTAGCAAAGGTTTTTACTGGTGTACAGGCTTCCATCACAGACTTTTTCACACAAATTTGGTAATATAGTAGATCAGATCCCCATTAAACTGTATATTAGCATATCTCCAACTTAGCTACTTTCAGTGCTACCAATATACAAACCTTTGAACAACTGAGTAAATACTGCCAGGTACCACTCTACAGCTAACAGATTTGAACATAGAGGCCAAAACCCACATTTGGGCATAAATTCTTACAGATTAAAAGTATGTAAAGTGTAATGATATCAAAATTCCAGATGGTGGCAGCTGAATGTTTGTCTATCTTGGGTTTCTTTGTTGTTGTGGGTTTTTTTGTTGCTATTTCTTTAAACAGTGCATTTCCTGTTCTACAGCACTTAAGCCAAGTAAAATTAGAATGAAGATAAAAACTATTTCTTTATAAGCAAAACTGGTTACTTGCATTTTTACAGATACTTGAACTACTTAGTCTCCTAGATAGACTATTTCAGCAAAATTAAGACTTGTACGAAAACAAGGAACACTGGTTTAGTATCAGTTATTTAAAACAATAGGATCATATTTACACTCCACTAATTCAGTGGTCTATGCTGCAAAGCATGACTAGGACAAGTCAGGGAGTACAGATGATTACCAGAGATTCCCCATGAAATACGCACAGCAATTGTAAAGTACGTACCTCAGTTTGTCATCTTCACAGTACTTAGTTTGTACTGAAATTGGTCTAGATAGTGTCTCTTGCTGGCTCTTCTTTATTAAGGAAAAGACAGAAGTAAATTTGGGGAGAATTCGAACAATAAAAGAGAAATTATATATTCATATATCACAGTGAAACTATAGTAGACGTGGCCACTTAAGTTTACTGTAGAAAAGGATTTTTTAAACATAAGAAAAGATAGCTTGAAATCAAAAAACTGCTGCTATCCCCAAATATTTATTTCTGCTTCAGAAAGTGTAACTTAAAGCTTCTGCAAACTTATCATCTTAGATGCTGTTATCCTCCCTTTCTCTGAAATGTGTAGGTAGAAATGTATAGCAAGTGGAACAAACTTTCAGTTTGCTGTATTACACCACAAGGCTTAAATATAAGTCTTCATTCATACAATATAGCCATAATTCAGACATTGATATGCTGTTATGTTCTTTAGAGAACAATTTAGTCAAACATTAAATGTTGAGATAGCTTCTGTGTTGCTAAGAAACAGTTAGAAAGCATAATCCAGAGCTAAAAGTAGTTATCCTGTTTTCTTTTTAAATTCTGACTTGCTTATCTTTTGTTGTTAAATGTGCATCTGTGCAATCAGGCAGTGCTACATGGGTTATTAAGTGTCCCAACAATATTTGATCTGCAGCTGCATTTAGAGGGGGGAAAAAAAGTGGTTTGGTTGTTGCTGTTTTTCAAAGGAAAGAGACTAGATGCTATTTTGGGTGCTTCATCTGCTTCTGTTCAAACTTACCAGAACTCTAGAGGAATGTATGCTTTCATAGTACACAAAGAATGAAGTTTAATAAATACGCAAAATATTTTGGTTTTTAAGCTTTTTTTATTTGAGTGAAACCATATTTTGAAAATTTCTAAGAAGGAGGGGACGTTCTCTAAAGGTGTCTTAGGTATAAAACAGATCACTCCAGCTCTCTCTTTTTTTTTAATAACTTGACCAATTTTCATATAAAAATTGGCCCAAAGCCACACTAATGTTAAAGATAATACTAACAATAAACAGGAAATTTTCTTCTGTTTTAAGAAAGTTTCCCTCTAACTAAGTACATATTTTCTATTTATATTGCTTATTCTTTGTACTCCTGTCAGCTTCAGCTATGTATTTCACTAGTTATTGCAGCATCTGGTTTTCAAATACCAAAATAGCATTTTATTTAAGACATAAAACCGTTGCAGAGACTATATTTAACCATCATAAAAAGCTTTTTTAGCTGATCTTATGTATAAGTGCACAAATGCTCTACACAGTTATGTGAATATGCATTTATCTGATGAAATTCTATTATATACTATTACTGCATGTGTTTTTAGTAAAGTTTACAATTTTGAAGGAAGGGGGTTGAGAAAAGGCAAGAAAAGCTTAGATTGAATCTGAAACCAAACTACTTTTAGTTGTCACGGTCGAAATAATTTCTTTTGAAACTTGACCCGGCGTCCATGTGAACCAAGGCTGAATTATGTAACAGCCTGCATAACCTACTCACCATGACTTCTTCGGTCTGACGCATCAGTTTTTCTCTTTTTGCTTCTAATTCTGCATTCAGTTTCCTGAAAGAGTACAATAACAATGCTTGTCACCGAGTTTCTGAAACATTTAAAGATATACATGTGAGCCTGTTAGCACCTGCCCGAAGTAAGTGAAATTTCAATAACTCCTGCAAAGGAGCAGCAAATACTACAGGGTATTATTCATCAGTGTCCTGGCTTTCTATCAAATCTATAGTAATAAAACACCGTGTACACATGTTTAGACTGTAATAGAATCACAGAATGGCTTTAGTTGGAATGAATGCTAGAAGGCCATCTATCCCAACTCCCCTGCGCTGAACAGGCACACCTAACAGCTCCCTCAGGTGCTCAGAGCCTCTCCAGCCTGACCTTGGGTGTCTCCAAGGATGGAGCACCCACATCTCTGGGCAATCTGTGCCAGTGTCTCACCAAACTTACTGTAAAAACTTCTTCCTTATATCCAGCATAAAACTCCCCTCCTTTAATGTGAAACCATTTCCCCTTGTCCTGTCACAGCACACCCTGCTGATGTGCATGTTCACTTCTTTCTTACAGCCCCCGTTCAGATACTGAAAGGCCGCTCTCAGGTCTCCTCTCCTCCAGGCTGCACAGCCCTTCTGAGACAGAAAGGGTGTCCTTGTTTTCTGTCATGTTACTGCTTAAACCGCATTTTACATCCTTAACTCCACAGCACTTCTGTTTTCAGTCACGATCCCGAAGCGTACTTTGAAGCAGGGATTATAGAAGCAGTGGCGTTCAATGACGTGAATATACAATTAAAACGTGTCACCATATTCATATGCAGGTTAGTAGGACGAGTAACGCCATTTTGTTAAGTAGCAAAACCGAAAGCCCCTGAGCGAAGCGATGCCCAGCGCAGTGCACAGCCGCCCCGGGGTTGACGGAAGGAAAGAAGTTACAGCCTCGTTCTCAGCGCACTCTTGAACGAGCGCTTCAGAGATTCGGACAGCGGGGATCGATTTCCCGCCAGCCCGCAGCGAGCGGAGCAGGGGATGCGAGCAGGGGATGCGAGCAGGGGATGCGAGCAGGGGATGCGAGCAGGGGATGCGAGCAGGGGATGCGAGCAGGGGATGCGAGCAGGGGATGCGAGCAGGGGATGCGAGCAGGGGATGCGAGCAGGGGATGCGAGCAGGGGATGCGAGCAGGGGATGCCGCCGCCCCCAGGCCGCCCCTTACTTGTAGTGCTCCTCCCGCGCCAGCAGATCGCCGCTTACCGCGCCGCTCCCGGCGGGCTCCGAGAGGCCGCCCGGCGCTCTGCACACCTGCAACGAGGGCGACCAGCGTGCGGCCCGCACCCTCTGCACCGCGCCGCTTCCCGCCTCCCCGCTCGTCGCCCCGCGCCCAAACCGCTGCCTTACCCGCGACGGGCCGTTGCCGCCCGCCGCCATTTTATTCGCGCGCAGGCTGCCGCGCGGCGTTGCTTTCTCCACGGCAACCGGCCGTCCCCGCTCGTCTCCCGTCCACTCCGCCGCTATGGGCCGAGGCACGGCTTTCTTTTCTCCCTGCCGCTTTCCGTAGCCCTTGGTTTCGAGCGGCGGCCACATTTCAGACCTTGCTGCCAAGTGGAGAAAGTGCAGCGATTGGCCGCACGTCCCCTCTCGTGCACCGTGTGGAAGCCCTCTGGCAGAGCCCCCAGCCCTGACCAGAGGCCCCAGTATGTCACTGGGCTGCCGGCCATTTGGGCGAGAGAGAAGAGACGTGTTCTGAGGTGCCATTATACACGACATTCTACTAAATCTTTATTACTTCTCTTCCCTTCGAACCTTTTGGTTTTGCCTGTGGTTCCGTCATTGTTCCGTGGTGGCAGTTGTTTCAGTCCTACCCCACGGATTGTTCTTTAGCTCTCTCATCTGTGTGCTTTATGGTCTCTTTAGCCTTGTCTTCTTGTTTTTCACCTCCACATTGTTTCGTTTCATTGCTTTTCTCCGTGTCTCCCACTGCTTCATTCCCTTTTTCACATGTGGCTCTCCCCCTCATCTGCTCATTCAGTGATGTTTCCTCTCACATGTTTCTAGATGATGATGCCCCTCTGTGCGATGGTTGATTCCCTCGCTGGCAGCCCCTCAGTCCTGCACTGATCCGTACACTGCAGCTCTGAGGAAGAATCAGAAAAGCACCATACTGAGCAGCATGGAGTTCCAGGGTCAGAGGTACGGATCCAGATGGCCTTAACAGGGTCAGTTCATCAGCATTTATGTCTGTCTTTGCACACAAACATACATACAGCCACATATGCACCAGGGGAGATTCTGGTTGGATGTTAGAAAGTACTGCTTCTCTGAAAGCGTGGTCAGGTGCTGGAATGGGCTGCGCAGGCCGGTGGTGGAGTCACCGACCTGGAAGTGTTTAAGGAATGTTTAGATGTTGTGTTGAGGGATGTTGTTTAGTGAGAACTATTGGTGATAGGCGAATGGTTGGATGGGATGATCTTGTAGGTCTTTTCCAACCTTGGTGATTCTTCTTATACATATATCTGGATATCTATATAGCAACAGTAATACAGCTCTATACATTGAATTATATAGACTGTGATTTCAATGAAGAAATTTGCAAGGGGGAATTCATAAAGGCTTGCTTGACTGAACATAGAGGCTCTGTGCATAGCTGAAGGCTTTCTGTGGAAGTATTAGTTGAAAAAACAGAAGTGCATGGAGAAGATGACAGAGTTCTGAGACATGAAGTGTAATGGGATAAATGGGAATGAAATGAAAGGACAAATGTGATTAGCAGAAGGCAAAAAACAAACAACACAAAACAAAAATGGTTAACAATATAGAAAATGAAAGTCCTTGAGGGTAACATTGGTATTGATATGGGAGAATAAGTTGAGCCTTTATAAAAAAGTTACAGAGCTTCGGGGAAAAAATAATCAGCTAAGAAGTCAATCCATTACAGTTATTTTTTTGACTGATCAGAATAGCAATAGGTTAGTGGTGGCCTTTTAAAAAATGACATGCTTAACTCACAGAGTTAAGCTTTTGATTGGGAGAAACAAGGAAGAGAGATAGCAACTGTAAAAACCAGACCTCCACAGAGGGAAGGATAGATTTTGTTAAGTAGTAAGTTGTTTAATCTCTCTTAGAATCAACATCATAATCTCTATAAATTAAGATTAACCCTCTATAGTGAGATATTGGAGGAATTTAAGAGAAACAGAGGAGCTAGAGAATGACAAGGGTAGTAGGATGAAAGCTATAAAGACAGACATGCTCTTTCCAAAGGCAATTAATACTTCCCCCCCCAAAGTAGAGTATTTTTTTCTTTTTTTCCAGACTGGAATATTTTAGAAATATAGCTGCTGGTTTTGAAGCTCTTATTCGATAAAGCTGTACAGTCGTGGCAGGCTAAAAATGCCAAAAATATCAGCTAGAGGATCTCCAGTAGCTAGATACTCAGGCAGCAAAATCACTGGTTGAAATTAAAGAGATTAGAGTCAGTAGTTTTCTAGCCAGCTTTTAGCTAACTGTTAATAAACAAAAGAGGGGTAATTTGTTATATCATAAATGATTAAATATGTTAACACTGCAACACAACATTCTCTTTGTGTAAAGCCTATGGGAATGATAACATAAACGTATACTAGGATTGCAGATTTGCACATTTTTCTATGATTCAGAACATGATTTATTTAATATGATTTATTGAAATATTTAAATCCAATCAGTACTGGATTTAAAATTCAACTACCTTTATGTGAAATAATATGAAAAGATTAGAATGTTTAGATAAGTATTTAATAAGTGAACTTTTAAAGTACTTCTCCAGAGACTTAGGAAACAGAAATAAGAGATTGTGTTATATTCTTGATCCCTTCACGTTTTATCACTTTTATGTTGATTTCATGTGACCTTAACAGTCGTGGTTAATTCTATAATACTTAGCTGGTAACTGGGTAGAGAATAGGCTTATGTCAAAGAGGACAGCCAATAGCAAGATACATACAGGGCTTTAAAAATTTATCATGTTTATCTGCAAAAAAGCACTTGAAAACCTAGCATTGGTACGGTCTGAGATTTATCTAGCATTTTTTGTTCATAGATTTCCAGTTTCCATTCATTTATTTTCAGAAAGTTAATTTAAGCATTGTGATTGTGATATCAAAATGTTTTTGTCATTTTGAAACAAAATGGCGATTTTGAATGGATCAATACCTGCCATCATTTTGAGCTGTTGCTGGGACCTAATGCTAGTATCTCTCCATCATTAAAGGTAGCACGTCTTCATTCTGTGGTTTTTAAGTGTTTCATATTTATTTTAGAAGGTTTCAGTAGGTCTCAGAATTACATGGCTCTAACAAAAAAGCATGCATTACAAGTTAAGTGGTCGCTGTGTTGTTGATCTTTCAGCAAAGCAGCAGGTAGATCATAGAATAAAGGAGCTGAATAAGTATAGCTGGTAGGAGTGGTTTAGAACAGAAGGCTGTGAATAGCTATTGTGTTAGAATAGTTTATTGCAGAAGACAGCTGAGGATCAATATACAGTGTTTATTTTTTATTAGAACAAAGAACAGGCATTATTTAATTGTTACCTCTGGTCCTCTTCTGCAGGCGCTAATTTCGTAATCTTCCTTCCCTCCTCCAATAAAAATATGAAAACCTAACTTTATATATATACCTGAATTTATATATTGAGCTTTTCTCTTCAACATTTTAGATACATTTTTTGTTCATAGTATATTCTTATTGGCTTAGTGTCTTCATTATTCATTATGTAGACTTTTCCACACCTCTCCTGAAAGTTGTGACATTTTGCAGGAACCTGAATACTGTCAACAGCTAACGCTGTGGGAAGACACATTATTTCCATGTGTGTGCTCATTACTTGTCAGAAACAGGCAGACTAGAATTTTAGGGCAACATATTCACAATAGTATTTTAGGACAAGATATTCTTCCACAAAAATCATTGTAAATGCAGGTTAGAGAGCCAGCAACTGATGCAGCTGCTCAGGTTGGTTTGGTTTTGTTGTTGCTTTTTTAGGCCCATGCTGAACAAATAAATAGCATAAGTAACATCATGTATGTGCACAAGTCTCACCATTTTTAGACCAATAATCACATTAAGGGTTTTATGTATTGTTTTGCTTGCTAATGTGGTAGAACTAAATTCAATTCAATTCATATATGAGAGGCCTGTAGTAAAATACCACCTCTGTTGACTCCCAACTCTAGAAGGAAATGGCTTTTACAGGACTCACTGCTGTCTGCTGCACCTTCCATACTAGGAAAGAGGGATGCTTTACTGAGGCAGTAAAACACAAACTGTATCATTCTCATATGTATGCAAGTTTCTTTGACCAGGACAGTCTGTACTGCTTAGATTACCCTGCTCTGGGTAAGCACTCATGAATAGAGTGTTTACTGTACTATGTTTACATTCTCAGTTCTGAATACTGTTACTTTTCTCAGTCAACACCCACGTTTTTAGGCAAGTGAATCCAAAGCAATCCAATCCGCTCTCAAAGAAGCTCTGTATTCCTGGGGCTGCCTCTTGCAGCACTGTACCCCGCAACACTGCCATATCTTGTCGTGCACGTGACATAAGCTGCCGCTCACACCATGCCTCTTATCTGCATGCTTCACAAGCAGGGCATGCACAGGGAGCCTCGTGCAGAGCAAAAACCACAGCCTGAGCAGGCTGAACCAAGCAATAAGGAAGTAAAGCAGAGACTGGCTGACTGCAGCACACGTGGACAGGCAAGGGGTGTAAAGTTAGCAGGCAATTTTTGTCTACCATCTATCTATTTAGCCTTCCTAACTGTACCACAGCTTAAGTGTATCACTGTAACCTAAGCCAGTGTAACACTTACATCTCATTTCACACTACAATAGTTTTCGTGTTTTACATTTCTGCTTCATTTTTCTACCTCCAATTGTCTAGAGGGGTAAAAAGGAAAAGGATAATTTTTGAGTCAATTGTAAGTGAAATTCAATACTTTCTTTTCTGAAAAGTCAATTTTTATTTTTATTTTTTAGCTCTAAATACCTTAATTTTTACTTTCAAAGATACAGTTGGTATTTTGTATTTCTATTGTGTGAAGTTCTTCAGTGGAAATAACAACCAATCCTGAACTCTCCCCCAGATCAGACTGATTTTAATAAAATACATAATTCTTGTCCAGTTACAGAGAAAATAATAGTGCAAACTCATTTTCAGACATGAGTGGAGTGGTAAGATCTAGATGATGTGTAGCTATTAAATCAATAATCCAGACATGGAGGGAATTCCTCAGACAGCTGCTGTGTTGTTTTTTTCCCTAATCAGTAATAATAATCCAGCAATGTTTGAAATGCCATAATTGCATATCTGAACAGAGTCTTATGCTGATATTTTCTCCAGTATCCAATTCCAATGCCTCTCTAAATTGTAAAGAAGACCAAATATTATCAATAGCTGTGTGTTTCCTATGAAAAAGCTGCTAGCTGTTTGGATATATGAAGTCTGCAAAAAATCTTTGGACTTGCCAACAGATATCCTAGAACGGTTTACTGTCAGTTTAGCCTGTTATTGCATGTTTTGTAGGATGACACTAATGGGTGTTAGTTGTTTATGCATTAAGTGTTGTGTAGCAGAACACACAGAAGAGGTATGCATGAACCAAGAACACGGGTTTCAAGGGACAAGAGGTCTGGGGGATGGGCAAGCTGTCCTAATAAGTTTTTCCATCTCCACTGCCTCCAGTTCTGCTTTCATATTGGTTTCAGTTTGGTGGAAATGTTTATTCTGCTCCTAGTGGCTTTTTATACATAGCTATACAATATCTAGTTGCTAGGCTATTCTGAATTATTTTTATATAGCTATCACTAGCATACTTGGGGTTTCCAGAATGCCATGTACAAACACAAACATTTTTCTTTGTTCTTCTCTGCTTTGCTGCAGTATTGAAGCTTACTTATTTCTATGTCATCCTTTCTAACCTAATCCAAACAATAACCTTGGCTCAACAATTTAAACATATTGAATCCCCAGCCAGAGTAGTTTTTCCTAGTAATACTCTGATTACAGCAGCTTTTATGTCTGAACAGGAAAGGACCTTAAACACTAAATCTCATCAGCACTGTAAAAAATAAGTGGTGAGCATCAGTCACATTTTCTTAGAATACCACAAGTCTTTCTTGAGGCTTAATCCTTTAATCTCTGGGTTTTGGGCA